TCACCTTGGATTCTCACTGTGGTGAATAACCCTGTATTTGTTAGTTTATAGATCACAAACATATGCTTTAGTTTTCTAAAGGTACTGATATAGAGTGGTCAGTGTATTGCTTATTTTCAAAATGGTAAACTAACATTTGAAGTATGTTAGTTCCACTGCAGATTTAGTATTTTCTTTGGGATAATCTTACGGAATTTTACTCTTATTGAAAAGGGCATGCATATGAAAATCTTCCTTCCTCAATTTGGTTTTATGTGAAATAAACATAATTTGGGAGGGTTCAGAGGGATTTATGTATCACCTGCTCTCACTAGCCTGTCTTTTAGGCTGTTTTTATCTTTCTTTTCCTTCTATTTAACATTTTTCTCTATTTTTCTACATTATTATAATGGTGTGACTTATATCATATCATATCATATCGCATGTTATACCATACCATAGTTACCAAACTACATCTTCATCTAAAACAGCCACAACTCTCTGTTTAATTACTGTAAAGGATACCACTCTGTCCTGGATCCCAGGGTGTAACCGGGCCAATCCTCACAATGTAATTTGCAGAAAATAAATAATGGTCTAGCTCTAGGCCTACAACAGGGCCTTCATTGCGCTGTAAATCCAAAGTGAGCTTGACAAAGGCCCTATTGTGGGACTAATTGTTACTTTAATCTGCTCCAATAGACCTGCTCACTTTGGATTTACCTTGAGTGTCTGGACGATCTTTTATTTTCTGAAAATAACTCTGTTGAGCATCAGATTCCCTTCCCATAGAACATTCTCACAATCTCAATATCGACCTAGGCACATATATAGAAACTACCTCATTATTTTGCATAGACACACTTTGAAATTCTTTAAAAAAAAATCTAACTCTTAAAGAGACACTCCCGACTTCTGAAGAAACTCAATTTGTTGAAATGATTTCTGTGGGGAGTGTGTTCTTTTTTATTTTACTAAAAGTGTAGATTTCATTAGAAATTGGTACTTTTCTAAATGAACCTTGTTACACCCCCCCCCCAGCTTTCAATCAAACAATCAGTTCTTTTACTTCCTGGTTTGTTAAGCTTTGTGGCGCTAAACTCAAGAGGCAGCAATTGCACAGAGCACCTGCATTGCAAATGGGGAATTCTGTGACTGGACAGACACAAAGAGTCTGGGCTAGGGAAGAAGGGGAGGGATTGCAAATGATGTGGACACAAGATCTACTGCCTTTGAAAGTTGTTTTTAGATCCCCCACCAGCCACTCATCTGTGGGTCTTTAAAGCTGCCATCAGCAGACCACAGTTGATGGCCAGGGGAACAGTAAGTTCATTTTAATTAGAGCCTCCATTTGCTAGCCATGGGTGGAGGTATTTGGGGGCACACTATGCCACCCCCACATTGTTAATTTAGTTAGTAGCCTCAGCAAAAACTGCCCAATTGTTAGTCTTCTACTGGCTACTGACTGTTTATTGGGCATGCGCTCTTTGTGTCATAGTGAGTGGAGGCAAGGGGGAAGTACTCCTGTGGGGGCCCCACACAGGCTTTTAACTATTTATTTAAATGGTGACTGCTAGTTCTGCTAGCAGTCAAATAGTAAAAAAGATACATTTTTCAACAGCTTTTGTCTGCAACGAAAAAAGTAGATGATCAGTTTTCAATATTTTCCACAAATTAATCTTAGTCGATCCAATATTTATCACCTCTTGATAGCCTTTTATGATTGTAATTAAATCGAAAGCTGATAAACAGCTGGTACAAGTGATTGCTGAAATGTAATGAACTATAATTTGCAATCTAATTCCTTTTCCTGCTTAAAAATAGCCAATAATCTTTACCTTCCTGAGATTATTCATTTTCAGTTTCACAAATAATAGCACTTGAATTCTAAAGTGAGAATTCAAAGTGGATTTCAAACCAAGGTCAAAATAGCCAACTGGAAAAAAATACAGATGGTGAAATTTACTTTGAATTCTCACCATAGTAAATACCTGTAAAATACTTTAAAAGAGTTGAGTGTATCTATATCATTCAATAGCATCAGAGGATATAATAACCCAAGTATGGACAATTTAATGTAATGTCTATCTGGAACCAATCAAACACTATTTGTGTATTGATTGATGTTTAAATTAATTATTTTTCTTGTACTGAGTGGAAAGATTAAAAAATATTCATAATGTCTTCAAGATTGTATAGTCTATTTTATAATACATTTAAACCTTTTCAATGAACATCAATTTATATTTATTCCGATGCTAAATGGAATAAATAAGCAGCTCATAAAAAGTTATTGGTTTAAGCCGGTTGATAGAATTTGGTAAGGATTGCAGTGGCTGAACTCTCACCTGAAGTCAAATTTTTTTATATGTATTTTTCTTTTCCTAGTTTTTTACTATATATTGGGGCTGATGTATAATGTAGTCATTGCTGCTGGCCCAGTAGTGATGGGAGTGAGCGCAGGACTTCTCTTTTTGTATTTGTATTTACTTTGTATCACACAGCCTTGTTACAATGCTGCCGCCTATCCCATGTGTTCCCTATTAAGGGTTAATATTAGTATATAGGGGTGTATATAAAAAATACCCCTCTGTCTCATTAGATATATCTTTGCCAGAAGCTCAAGGAAGCAGGCTGAAGGGTCAGTGTTAGGACAGGATTAGGGGGGGTCTGCCTTGACGTTGGCAGGCGGGCATTCCCTCCAATGGCCATTGGAGCAAATAAATGACCTCCATTTGTCTAAATATACATAGGGATTAAGGAGAGAGCGCAGGTAACGTTTTCTTTTCTTTGGTTTTTACTATATATTGGGGCTGATGTGTACTGTAGTCATTGTTGCCGGCCCAGTAGTGATGGGAGTGAGCGCAGGACTTCTCTTTTTGTAATATATATTAGGATTTCACTATTTCTACTACTAATATCTGTTATTATTTTAGACCATTTACAGTATTCTGCACTGTAACAGTATGTCTGCCCACTTCTTGAGAGAGTCTCAGAATTTAATGCATTTTTGTGAATTTTTGTGAGCGTGAATCACAAGGAACTGTACATTTAAACACAAATCACTATCAGACTTTCATTGTGACTGCAGTGATAAGCTGTGTAAAACCCCTTCAAACACTGTGCTCTCTCACCATTTGTCTCCATGTAACTGTTGTAATTAAATCGAAAGATAGCTTCACTAGAGATAATTAATGCTAACTTTGGCAATTACAGGTACGAGTTACATTTATACAGTTTGCCTGCGGCATCCCAGTTAAATAGAACAGTACGGGAATATATATATATAAAAAAAGAACCCTGTATATTTTGTGCAGCTTTCTTGATCAGTAAAATAATGGTACCAAAATCATCTCAAATTAAATTTATCTGAACAATTTATTTTTTAGATATTTTAATACAATACATATTTTGTTACGGTAGTGGACCTAATATCTTTCAGAAAATACTTTTCATACTTGACTAGTAATATTATTTGAATTAGAGCACACAATGTCCCTACCCTCATTCTATTCAACAAGACATAGTTATACGTTCCCTGTTAGCTGAAATTCTGAATAGTGGGCATGACATACACTGGCACCCCATCATTCTTTTATTCACCATTTTAATTTTTTTTTTTAGTTTTTTTTTTTTTTTTTGTATTAATTTAATTAATTAATTTCTGATTCATGACATTCATTATATATAATACCCATAATTTTTGCTGTGAGATAAGCTGTGTTATTTAAAAATAGCATTTAAAGGGACACTATAGGCACCAAGAGCACTTTAGCTCATTGATGTTGTCTGGGTGCAGTGTCCCTGCCCCCTTTAGTCCTGCAATGTCAAATATTGCAGTTTTTGTAAAACTGCAATGTTTACATTGCAGCACTAAGATTGCCTCTAGTGGCTGTCTACCAGACATCAGGTGCTTGCTGGAGTTTACCGGACTCCAGTTCCCTTAAATGATGCTGGGAGTCCTCACGCTCTGCATGAGGACATCCAGCGTCAGTGAAATCCCATTGGAGGAGGCGGAGAGCCGACACTTCGCCAAGAGACATCGGCTATAATCAGGTAAGTGATTAAAATAATTTTAACCCTTTGCATGGAGAGGGACGTGAGGCAGGAGAGGACCAGAGGGCACTAAAGTGGTTAGGAATACACGTATGTATTTCTAACACTATAGTATCCAATTAAAGTGTTCCATACCTTTTTTTACATAGCAGGTTTGATCCAAAAGTTTAAAATATATCATATAGCCACAATAGTTACTGAACTGAATCTTGTGAGCTGATACACCAGGGGTTATTAAATCATCAAATATAAACAACATACATACAAATAAGATACCTCATACATATAATACTTTAAGGAAAAACAGTTTGATCATTTAAAAATGTTAAGGGATTGCTTAAAGTTTAGCACTTTATTAATTAATCCCATAAATTGCAGAAATACATTTTACAATAGATTGCCCCTTTTAGATTATTAGGCAAGCCTTCACGATCGCTGTGGCTTTGAATAAGGATAGGGATCAGTTAATAACCACCAGAACATTTCTAAGAGTGCTCCTAATTGCTTTTCATAGAAAAAGGCTTTATAACGTTTGTTCTAGATTAAAGCTTATCATTTTATTATTTTAGAGAGATAATTGGGGATCATCTCTTAGTCTTCATTCATTTTCCATTACTTAAGGTGGATATTTAAGAAACACTATAGTGTCAGGAACACAAACATGAATTCCTGATAATATAGTGTTAAACTAACTATTAAGTTGATTTTACTCTCTTTTTCTTCAACACTGTGCAGTCTCGCTTACTCCACCTTCATGGCTGAGATCATCAAACTTGACGATCTCATCCAATCCAATGCTTTTCCATAGTAAAAAAATGCTTTGCTGCACCATTCAGCATCTCATCACAGAGATCCATTATACATACACACACGACACATACATACAAAGACACATACATACAAACAGACAGACACACATACACACACACACACACACACACACACAGACACACACAACAAACATACATACTGTCTGTATGTCTGTATGTATGTGTGCCTGTCTGTTTGTATGTATGTATCTTTGACACATACATACAAACAGACAGGCACACATACATACAGACATACATACATTCATACAGACACACACACACACACACACACAAGACAAACATACATACAAAGATACATACATACAAAAAGACAGGCACACATACAGACAGATAGACAGACACATACAGACACACAAGACATCCATACAAAGACACTTACATACAGACATATACACAGACACATACATACATACAAACACACATAATATTTAAGTCACCCTCCTGTTTCCTACCTTTTAGGTGCAGGAGGGTGACTTTCCCTGGGGTCCAGTGGTGGCTCGGGTTGATGGGAGTCAGAGTTCCCACTCTGACTCCCTCCTCTGCTTCCTCCAGTGCAGGCTCTGTGTATGCTGGGAGGAGTGATGTGCATTCACTTCCTCCTAGCATGTGATGATCTCATCACAGGGGGCCCGGTCGCGCTGTTAAAGCGCCGCAACGCTGACCGGGCCCTCTGACAATCCATGTCCATCGGGTGGCCCTGACAGCATGGGCCACCCGATGGACCCCTTAACATGCGGCCCTGGTGGTGGGCACCCGGTCACAGGGGTCTGCAGGGCGGTTGGGCCCCCTGGAGTGACAGTATGTACTCCAGTGACAACTACATTAAGCTGTAGGGGTTCTGGTGACTATAGTGTCATTTTAAGTGAGATTGTGAATGTTCAGTCTGGTAGGTTTCCATGATTGACAATTATTTAATATTCAGTGTTTTTTTTTTTTTAAGTTTTCAGTCAAAAAGCAACAACAAAAATCCCAGTTTGATTAGCAATATGATCGTATTTTATAGAACAACTGTGTGTGTAAACATAGAACAAGCATCGGCATGTGATGTGAACATGTTGCAATTAAACAGTTTTTTGAAAACCCCCATTAAAAGAATAAATATAACGATTCACATCTTTTGCAACCCATGCATTACCCAGCAGGAGTTGTTTTCCTTTACCAACACCTTTCTGGCAAGTGCTCTACAATTAAAAACAATGTATTAAAACATTGGGTTTTTTCTCTAAGTACAGCATTATCTATTTCTCCTATATCCATTTAATGAATTCAGTGTATGCAAAAGTATTGCTTACTTAATTTTCTCCATTAACTACAGAATTCTCTAGAGCAATAGATCTATTACAATATCAAAGTTTTTTTCAATGTGTGTCAAAAAGAAACATAACAACATGCAAGGTTATTAACCAAAGTTAGAATTCACCTTAAATTCACTCTGAATTCTCACTTTCAGTGAATAACCCTGCTAATATAGTTTTTCCCAAATCTGGAACAATGTAGAGTGCCAAAATATCGCTTTCAACACATTGCACAATTAATGTCACATAACACTTGATGTTAATTTTGAATCCAATGATGCACATCTTCTACCGATTTATTTTCTTCCTGGCGCTCCTATTATAAATTATTTTACTGCATTGTATACACCTGTTACAGTTTTGAGCCCTCTTTCCCCTCATTAGTCTTCTTTGTCATTACATATTGCACTTCTCCCAGCTAGTTTCATTTTCTGCGCTGCCAAGCTTCTATTTTAAATTAATCGTCATTTTTGTTCTGCATCATAACACATCATCAATTGCTGCAACTTCGGGAGCATTCCCTTTATTATATTATGCTTCTGCATCATAACACTTTGTCAATTTCTACAATTTTAGGCTCAGATCAATATTGACAAATTATAATTCAGCGTCATTATATGATGCACATCTTCTACCTATTTTGTTTGTCAGCACTACCACACTTCTGTTATTACTACTGTCCTTAGCATACTGCCACTTGGTCCTTTGTTTTGTTCGAGTCAGTATACTTCATTCCGTGCTCTGCTGAGAACTTAATTAAAGTTTTTTCCTTTACTAACTATATACATATATTCAACCACTATCATTGCATAGAACACTAAGTACTTATAAGTAAGTATTCAAAGGAAGTTTTTGTTTTTTTTCAAAAATGGAATATTCAACAATATAATTAATATGTATTTAAAGAAGTTGTTAATGTAAGGAGAAACCTGATTGCTGTCATGGAGACAAGAAGAAATATGTGACATAAGGAATTTTTGTGGCATAACTGAAAATTGCTTAGAACTTCTTTTTTTTCCCCTTCTTTTGGATCAACAGCATAAAAACATATTTAAAGGTTAAACTCAAAGGACTTGAATAATTTTTCTACCTTGATTACGATTAGCGATGGTAAATACTATTAAAAAACAACAAAGTGGCTTTGAACTATCAACAACATTGGACTTTTCTACTCAGTAAAATAGCATAGTATGAAGTTTTGGTAAGAATGAGCAATGACCTCTTGAACAGAAGAACATAAATTGTCCCTTGTACTCACTGTCACACACGGCCATGGGTCAAGATAAAAGATGATCAAAAATATTAGTACGAGACATAAGAACAAAAGTATTAGAAGGAAGGATAAGTTAGAGGCATATTAATGAGCTTCAGAGCTTACCACACAAGATCTACATGTTGGTTAGATGAAAAATAGTCAGAGACCAAGTTTAGGCCTAAAGAAACCAGATTTAAGTCCAAGGAAACAATTTAAGCCAGGTCAAGGATATTAGAGGACCAAGAACACAAAAAAAAATCTGAGTCAAAACCAGATGAACAATGGAGTACAAAGAACATTAAGAAGGATCCACAAAAAGGCTCAGTACCAAACCGAATATTGGTTTAAAAGTCATTCCTGCCTCTCCAAGACATCAGTGTGCATCAAGACAGGGTTCACACCAGAGTACAACTGTGCATAAAATGATAAAAATGCCAGATTGAAAACAAATGGATGTAATATTGCAGAGTGTGGCTTCGCAATAGACACAACCAGGGGCATTATTGACAGCAATGATGAAGGCGTGATTATGGAGTCCAGGAGGAAAGTGTACATTGTCAGAAATAGCCTAAAAGTTGCATATGGTAACACAAGTGTTACAACCTTACCATAACACCCTGCTTAAAAGTAGCAATTTAAGGGATATATACAGCAGCTACAAACAGGATTAATATTGTTTCACACCTACAAAGATTCATACACTGATCAGAAACAACATTAAAGGAACAGTATAGTCACCAAAATAACTTTAGATAAATGAAGCAGTTTTGGTGCCCCTGCAATCTCCCTGATCAATTAAATGAAATTTAGGAATTAAATCACACAACTTATGCTGCCCTAGGGTACTATGTTAAGAATGCCAGCTGGTGAAGACAGTGGTGTGTTCTGGAAAATGTTCTGCTGGGAATCTTTCATTCCTGGCATTTATTTAGACATTACTTGACATCTACCACCTACGTAGAGATTGTTGCAGACCATGTAACCCCTTCATTGCAATAATGTTCCTTGATGGCAGTGGCCTCTTTCAACAGGATAATGTACTGCAAAAATTGTTAATGAATGTTTTGAGGAACATGACAAAGCGTTCAAAGTGTTGCCTTGGTCTCCAAATGTACCAGATCTCAATCCCATTAACGATCTGCGGGATGTGCTGGAACAACAAATCTGATCCATGGAGGCCTCACCTCACAACTTGCAGGACTTAAAGGATCTACTGCTAATATCTTGGTGCAAGATACCACAGGACACATTCAGAGGTCTTGTGGAGCCCATAACTCAATATATTACAGTATGATGTATGACCAGTATGTAGCAACATGTACTAAATTAGGGGTTAATTCTCATTGATAAAATATATGAAGGAGAAACAAATTAAGCAAGTGAACTGAACTTGACTGGAACCCAATTTGGGAAAGTAATTTTCATTATTATACTTATTTTTTTTTTATTAAGAAAAATGAACTAGTTAGACAGCATGGATGAAACCAATGCCCTGCAACCTCCTATAGAAAAAAGTGACATCCTTTCTAGAAATTTGTGTACAACTGGCATTTTATATGCATGCACAAGTATCTAGAAGTTTTCAGTTCCCCCCCCAGTTTGAGGAGAGAAACAGAAAGACAAAGGGGGTTGATGAAATGGTGCAAGTGTTCTATGTGTATCTGGTATCATGGAAAAAATCTCTCTGATTATTTCCATGCTGCTTGTCAACTGTGACATTATGCCATAGGTGCCTTGAAAATCCCTTTAAAGATGATATTTTCCCCACACACTTACAGATAGGCTCACACTCCTACCTTCCATTGTGTGGATTTCTGAAGAACATTTTGAAGTGCAAAATTCAGAAAAGCCCATTTATTATTATTGTCGTTATGGTTATTTTTATGATTTTTAGCTGATTGCATAAAGTGTCATGTAGCACTAGTAGGTATTTTGTTGTTGTTGTTGTTGTTGTTGCCGATTCATGCCAGGGACCAGTAGGAAAAGTGTGAGATGAACAAATTGATAGTTAAAAATGGGAACATGAAATTGCTTTTAAAGCAAACAAATCTGAAGTCCAAGTAACTAGAAAATTTAATTCAAAAGAACTACTCAGCTAAAAATCTAGACATCTGTAAAAAAAAAAAAAAGAAGAAGAAAAAAGAATCATTAAATAAAAAAAAGAAAGAAACAAAAAGATTAAAAAGTGAAATTCAAGGACTGCCCTAGGCAGGTTTAAGTTATGGACTGACAGGTAGTGTAGAGTTTTACCAGACTAATTATTTTGCTATTCAACGATAATGAGAAATTGCCATGGTAACTGACTTCTCACATGGCGTACGGTATATGTGCGCCCCACACAGAACCATGAAAAAGGAACAAATGCATATTCACAGAATGTTTACTTCTTTTCAATGTAGTACAGTACATTCCAATCAGTAATAGAGCTAAAATGTATAACTAAATGGCTATAAAACATTACATACATGAATACTTTTAGGGTTACACTGCAAACTGAATATTAACAAAATGTACCAATCTGAATAAGTCACATTATGCTATTTCCAAAAACAGAATATGACAAATATTTCACCATTACAAATGGATGGAGAAAATAAAACCTTTGTCCTTAATTTCCATATGCTTTTGTCAATTTATGTCAATTCACTGCTTGTTAAATATCACCCTAAATCACCCTTATATTTGC